TCCAGCAAGATAGCAGAGCAGGAGCAAAAGGAGTGAGTGATTGGAAGGAGCAGAATGCTGTGATGGTGTGAGCCAAGGTGTTTCTCGGGCTACTCCAGCTTAGGTGCCGTGGGAGGACCAGACAGAGTTTCTCTTGTTTTGCCTTCTCCATGATGCCCCTCTTATATTTCTCCCAGACAGTCCTGGGGAAAGGACATCTGAGTGTTGCATTGTATGCCAACATCTGCTCTTGGCTGATACTGTTTTCTCTCTTATTTACTCTGGCTGACAATGGTACTGTCCCACATTGCTAGCAACCCTAGCAGGGTCATCATGATCCTGAGATCTGCCAATGGCCCACACCTGCTGGTGCCTTTGAAGGCACCAAAGCCTGAGCCCAAAACCTGTAGAGTCTGTGCCAAGGGTATTGGTGACTATGCTGAAGGAGTGAGGTAATAACTGTCAGCATTGCTAGTAACAATGCTTGATATGGGTTGAATTATATTTCAAAGGCTACATGGAGTCTTAAAGGCTGGCACCTGTGAATAGGACCTTATTTTTAAATACGGTCTTTGCAAGTGTAATTAAGATATAAGGTAAGGTGAGATTATACCAGCAAAGGGCAGGCCCTACATCCAATATTGCTGGTTTCCTCGTAAGAAGAGGGGTAGTGTCACAGACAGAAATGCAAGGCATCATCTTATGATGATGGAGGCAGGATCATCAAAGGAATTATGTGTCTTATAGCCAAGGGATACCAAGGATGGTTGGCAGCAACCAGAAGCTAGCAACCAGTTGTTGCCACCTTGATCTGGAACTTCCAGCCAACAGAACTATGAGACAAAATTTCTGTTGCTTTAAGTGACCTGGTTTGTGGTAGTTGTTAGGACAGCTGCAGGACTGGACACACTACTGCTCTCCCAAAGGCCAGCGCTGTCAGCTACTGCCTGGCCTGAAGCTCCTTGGGCCCACCAGTGTTATGCAGAAGTGCACACTTTGCTTTCATCTGCTCTGTGTACGTGGGAAACAGGTACAGATCTGGGGGACTGGATCCAGGAGACAGCTGATGAACCAGAACTGCTCACTCCCCAAGCTTCTGTTGGCTCTTAGAGCCCATGGGGGCTTCCACCTCCTCCTGAGATGAGCTCTTTCTGCTTTGCAGCCTTAAGTGTGCCCTGAGGTTAACATAGAAAATTATGAGTTGTGCTGGGCTTTTCAATGCATGTTATAAATTAGAAATGAATTTCTTCCCTGAATAAACCTGCACACAGAGAAGCTATAAACCCACAGTGAAAGGTGATATTTGGGAAAAACCAGGAATTAAGTGTGCTTAAAGAGAATATAAGAATGTTAGCCTGGCTAAGGACTCCCTGTGCTCAGATGTCTCCAGTCTCCATCCTGCCTGCCCTGGTCAGCAGCCTCATCTTCCTAGGCCAGGAGGGCACAGGAAAGCACCAGCTGCATCTCTTTCTGGACTGGGCTCCCTGCAAGGAGCTTCCTTCTGGTACTGGGCACTTCACATTGGTTTAAGCTTGTGGGAGAGCAAGGACAGGCTTTGAACACTGGAGAGGTGATGGCAGGGGGATGATCAAGCTGGTGATCCTGTGCCTTTACTGTTGGGCTTGACATTTGCAGAGCCTCACTGGCATCTCTGCTGTGGAGCTCACTTTGGAGGAAAATCACAGGAGGAAGTGGACAGGATCAGGGAGCTGTACACTTCAGACTGGGCCAGGGTTCAGACTGGCAGCACGGTCTTCAGGTGGGTGGCACTGGTCTCCACTCAGGTGTCATTTCCAAACCCCTGACTAAACAGTATCCCTTCAAAAACCCCAGGCAAATTTAGAGTGAAGCCAGAGATCTTTTTAGTGGGGAATGCTGTAATTTGGAGATACCCGCACAGCTAGCAGAGAACACCACCAAGGGCTGCCCCTCACCCAGGCCCTTTCACCTAAGATACAAAATTCACTGTTCAAGCTTAGGAGGCAAGTGCTCAGCAGAGAGAAGACACCCTAAACAGGAAATGATGTTGCTAAGCTCTCAAACATCCCTCTTTGTTTTTTCCCTTACCTTCTTTCTTGTTTTAGTGACATCTTCCAGAGAGGCTGGCTGCCCAGAGACAAAAGCCTCCACTCAACAACAAACATTTTCTTCTGCCCCCACAAAAGAAAGGCTCATATGTGTCTTTCAGCCAAATGTAGTTGCTGTTTACATTTGTGAAGTACTGTACTGTTTCAGAACAACTTTGGCCCAAAATATTTTCCCTCAGCTGCATTCTCTATTCTTCCTACTTTCATTTTCTTCCACTTTCTAAATTAAGGCTGTGTGGGAGAAAGAATAAAAGATTTCATAAAAACTGGAGTGCCTCTGGTAAAATTATCTTCACTATCTTGTCTGTCTTTCAGAAAAGAGAAATTTCCATTTTGTCCCAGTGTGATCTCTGCTTCCTTCAGCCTTGACTGTGAAGAGCTATTTCAGGTATGGATGAATCTTGTTGATGATTCCCAGCAATGCCTTTGACTTTAGTCTGCCACCCATCAGTCTGACTGTGATCCAAATCATCAAATCCTGCTGCTCCTCACCCTTTCTCCTTACCTGTGTGCTTCTTCTGGTAAGTTCCTTATTAGCTGATGACTTCTCTCCAGCAGTCCCAGAATGAGCACATTAGGTAGAAGAGATGGGAGTGTCTGCTCTACCACAGCCTCTCCAGCTCACCTCTCCCAGGACCCTGACAGGGTTCTGGGCCAGTTGCTGGTTTCCTTCTGCCTCAGGGCACAGGATTCCTCACTAAGCCCCTTCCCTAGATTGAAGGCCACTTTTTCCCTTTCTCTTTGCCTCAGTGTGATTGTCCCCAAGGGGTGACATCCTTCCAAAAAGCTTCTGCCAACTTTCTCCCAGGAGGCTCAAGGATTCTCATGTAAATTAGGGTGGTGTTTGGCCTGTCCTGGTAGGTTAGAGTTCCCCACTGAGTAAGCAGGCCACCTTCCTCCAATTCTCAGGATCAGGGATGGAGAAACAGAGATTTTTTAATAGACTAATTTATTCTTCCCTGATCCCAGTTATAAACTGACACACTTATGTAGTAACCCACATATTGAAACAACTGGTGTGTGTGTGCGTGTGTGTGCGTGTGTGCGTGTGTGTTCTATTTGTCCTCTGAAAGTTGTGAAGAAGTAACAAATGAGTTTCTCTTTTTAGTTCCTCATTCCTGGTCTCTCTGTGGAGCCATTAGGACTCTGATTCATCAATAGGTCAGGCTGTTAAAATTGGGAAATGCCTCTCTGTCTCAGCTTTGTGTCCTGTTCAAGGAAGAGATGCATGTTAATATCAGGAAAGAGCTGATGGGATTGGAATTCTGGAATTAAAAACCTCATTGATTCTTTGTTTTATTAACCATGATTTTATATATATATATATATATATATATATATATATATATATATATATATATATATATATATACACAA